TAGGAAGGAGCCATTCTCCTCTCCCTATATTCCTGTGCTGGTCCATGATGCAATGGCTCTCAAATGCTAGCATATATAAGAATCATCTGCAATGCTAGTTAAAATGCAGATTTCTGGGCTTGCCCCAGACCCACGGTGTCAGAAAATGAGGGAGAGGTGTGCCAGGTGGTTCTGTTGTTCACAGGGCACACCTCTTGTCAAGGGGCATGGCCTTTGGGGAAGGGGTTTCCATAAGCTTGTCCGCCCTCCCTGCAAATTCCAGGGGAAGAGGTGCCCACAGAGGCTGAGGCTCTTGCTGACTTCAGCTTTGCTAGTGAGTGAACTTCCTTTGCTTTGGAATGGGGATGCAGACTCTCCCTCACCCCACACTGGCTGTCTCCCTGGTCAGTAGGAAGGGCCTTGAGCTCTATCTATCTCTCAGCACATGTGAAGCAGAGCCCCAGACCACCTTCTAGAAGCCAGTTAGGCCATGCTCTCTGCTGCTGTCCACTGTGCCAGCCATTGGGGCAACCATTAGGAATGCATTCTCCTGCAAGTAACAGAATGTTAGACTAATAGTGGCTTAACTAATGAAGGGAATTTAAGAATTTTTATAAGTAGATGAAGGTAGGCCAGTCCAGGATTGGCCAACAGTTCCAGGTGGCAGAGAGCCAGCAGTGGGGTGCCTCAGATGCTTTTGACTTTTTCCTCTTGGACACAAAGTGGCTGCCAAAGCCCCGGGCATCATGTCTTCCCATTGCTGTGTCCTAATGCAGGACATAAGGGGGCAGCCAGACAAATGAGAGAAGGTGCTCTCGTGTGACCCTCTCCTCTTATCGGGGCAGAAAACATCCTTTCTAAGGGTACCCTGGGCAATTTCCCATGATGTTTCGTTGGCCGATGACAGATTTTCCTTAACTTCAAGGAAAGCTGAGAAAGTCCACATCTGGCCTTTGGACTTTTACAGTGGATAAGGAAGAGGGTGGGCTGGTGATTGCTGTTGGGCAGCCAAGCACGAGCAGGTCTGCCCTAACCAGTTAGCAATCCAACATACGGAACAACTATTTGGAGCCTCAGGATGCTGCTGGTTTCCAGTACAGTCCTGCCTCTCAAAAGGACGAAATCCCAGTGGCTCTGACAAATGAGTTCCTGCTTCGTATTTAGAACCTTCAGATCAGAAACACCCTTAGTTACTTTCTAAACTGATTCTAAAACCACCAGACAGTTATTCTTTCAGCCGAATATAATCAATCCTGCATTTTAAGTTTATTTTCTATTTTGTCCTCAAAGAAAGTATCATTCAGAAAGCATCCCTGGTTCCCCAAACCTTTCACAGACCTAAACATAGCTATCCAGTCAGTTCTGGATCCTCCCTCTTCCAGCTAACAAACCCAGGTCCTCCATCCTTCCCATGTGAGTCAGCTTTTCCAAGCTTTAAATTTCCCAGGACAGTGGTTTACACCCTCTTTTGACACTTGAAAAAATATTAATTGAATTGCCTCTCTGTAGCTTCCATCAGGAGTATTTTCAATTTCCTCCCATCCCTGACACAGAGGCCTGGCAACAGACAAAGCACATTAATAAGATTGTGTACTTTGTGAGATCATAGAGGGCTCCTTAATCCAATTACAGCCCTCAGAGGGGATTAGGAAGAGAGACCCATGTGTCACCAGCTCTAGGTGTTCTGGCCCTGGGCATCGTACAGCTGGAGTTAGTAGATCCCACCTTGGGCGAATGGAAATAAACATTAGCGTGGCCCTGCTCCCTTCCTAAGGCCAGCCTCTCACTGCGTGGCTGCCTCCCTCGCTGCTCCCCTTCCTCTGTGGCATCCTCCACGGCATACTTCCTCCGAAGCCAGCGTTCCATTCAGGGCGTTTTGTTCAGGGAGTGTCAGCCTGGGAACATAGGAGAAAAACTGGGGCTGGGGAAATGACTCTTGCAGCTCTTGCTTCCCCGCTCTTCTTCCTCACCATCTTCACAGCTTCTTGTTATTGATATCAATGCTAGGCCTAGCTCCATGGGAAATATTCAGCATTCATCTTGTCCTCTGAGCTTTACAACAGTCCTCTGTACTAGGATTTTATTGAAGAGAAAGCTGAGACTTCAGGGGCGGCAGTGACTTGCTGGTGGTCCCAGCGTTATGATGCATCAGGGCCAGGACTTGACCCCCACCCATCTTTCTATTTAATCAAAAAAATAGGGAATTTAAAAGGTAGAAATATCCAAGAATGTTATATTTTTGCATAATCAAAATGATATATAATTGTGTTGCAAAAGACTAGTGCTAGAGAAAAGCACAAGAATTACTGTCATTCATTCATTGATTCATGCAATGATATTTATTTAGAGCTCACTATGGTCCTGACACTGTGCTAGGTGCTCTGTATTCATGGGTGAAAGAAAGGGTCTCTGTCTACAGCCTCCAAGGCAGCTTATAGTTATAAGAGCAAGAACTTTTACTGCAAATAATGATGTCCCCAGGAGAGAAGGAGAGAAGGAGGGAGGGAGGGAATTGTCTTCTTGGGAAAAAACAACCAGCGGTCCCCAGCCGAGGAAAAGGAGCTGAGCGGCACAAATTGGTTATTTCCAAGCATCTTGACTGTCTCACTTGTCAGCAGATGGCTGGATTCCCCAGAAACCCCACTATCCTTCTGCTTGTGCGTAGGTCTCTGGCTCTGGGGAATGAGATGTCAGACCAAACGAGTCCAAGATTGTGATTAGTGCTGGTGTGGGTGGAGATGGCCCTTGGGAGACTGAGGTGCTCGGCATCTCACTGCTGTTCAGAGGACCCACCCTCAGCATTCTCGTGACCCAACAAGCCAAAGGCTCTGTCCTCTCCAGGATCCTAATTGAGATGAATGGCTGTATTTTCCAAGCATGGCAGCTCCCTGGCCCTGGTTTGAAGTTTACTTTACTGAGGTTGCACATTCTGGCATCACTTGGGATGGACAGAGATCCATTATTAGGATCCATAGAAAGGAGGATAGAATGGTAAATTACTGCTGTGTTACAGGGATCGAACCGAAACACCACTGTGCAACCACTCAGCACTAAGAGCTTTGCATCTGTTAACTTAAAATCCTATTACTAACCCTGCTGGGAGTTGTTCTAGGTGAAGAGTGGAAGTCCAGTTACAACCAGGAAGTATCTCCAGTGTGTGTATGTGTGCACACACTCTCCCATGTGTGGAGTGCTTAGCCATGAATACATGTCAGCTGTAATTATTATGAAAGTGACTTTATTTGCCTAAAGACACTCTGACCCAACCTGCCAGATTCCACTCCCACTTTGGTGCCAGCTCTTTCCCCAGCATCAATGGTCCTCATCTCTGCTTTCATTTTCCCACATCCACGGCAACCTCTACAACTGTGGTTGCTTACTTTTAGTTGAGTGTAAATCAAATCTCTTGACTCATTTAGTCTTGTCCTTCTTGCAAGAATACCCATTATGGCATGGGTCTAATGGGTTAGCTACTTGTGCCAGTAAGCATTAGGAAAATAACTTGACAGAAGCAGTATGCCCTCATCTTACCTAAATGTCTCCGCATGCACCCCTGACAGAGCCCCACTCTGGGAAATGCCTGCAGCCACCACATCATGTGCTCTCGTGGTTGGGAAAGAGAGTGACAGACACTCAGTTGGCAGCACCATTGTATTCCTAATGTTTATCATGGAGTTTCTTTGACATCCTCTGGTTTAGTCCACACAGTGGCTGGGGGAGGTGGGTACTATCGGCCCCCTTTGCAAAATCAGCTAGAGTGGTCCTCATCAAGGCTGCCCATTGACACTGGGGTAGGACAATCCACCATTGTGTGGGACTGTCCTGGGCACGGCTTTGAGTCTAGTATTGCTGTCCCCTGCCCAGCAAATGGCTGTAGAGTCCTTGAGTCAGTTGAAAATGCTCCCATACATTTTCACGTGCCCTCAGATGGGCAGGGCCCAGCGGCTTAACTCCACATGGCTCAGACTCTCAAATCCTTTTCCCCACATTGTACTCTACTAGAAACCATGCGCCCAGGCTATACTTGAAGGGACATAGAGACCCTTTGACTTTGTGGCAAGTGAGAGAGAAACATTAAATATAAAACTTTGGTTTTCCTGTTGCATTTGATCCACTGTGATCACAGAGGCAGGGTTATCTTGCTGTAAAGCGACTGAGGCTTGGGCTTTGTGGTCTTGTTTACCAGAGCCCCCATGGGTGTCGGGGGTGTGGAGTTACAGGTTCCAGGCAGGGAGGCTTTAAGCCTCGCCGTTGCCAGGGAGTTGCCTAACAATATCTCAGAGGGAGGTTCACTAAGGTTCAAGTCACTCACTGCCCAGATCACTAAGGCTCAAGTCATCTGTTGTCATTCATTTCTTAATAAAAAACAAACAAACAAAAGAAAACCAACGTCCATACCTAATCTCACATTTTCGTGTTTCATATTCTTTGTCTTAAAGATAGCCCCCCAATTACACAGGCTGCCTCCAAAGCCCAGCTCCATCCCTGAAGGCCCACTGTTGCTCGTGGAATTTCAGAGGGAGTTTGTGCAAACCACCTGCCCTTCGTGGCTGGTGTGCATCCTGAGACCCTTCTGTCTGCTTTCCAGCCATTGGACTATGAGATTTCCGCCTTTCACACCCTGCTGATCAAAGTGGAAAATGAGGACCCACTCGTACCCGATGTCTCCTATGGCCCCAGCTCCACAGCCACTGTCCACATCACTGTCCTGGATGTCAACGAGGGCCCAGTCTTCTACCCAGACCCCATGATGGTGACCAGGCAGGAGAACATCTCTGTGGGCAGTGTGCTACTGACAGTGAATGCCACGGACCCCGACTCCCTACAGCATCAAACCATCAGGTGGGTGAGTGGCTCCGGAACCACAGACGGGAGGTGGGCAGGAATTGCTTTTCCTTTCCAGTCGCAGAAGCTGGTTGTCAGGAGCAGATACCATTAAATTAAACTTGTTAACAATCCGGGCAAGTGGGAGGAAAGCGTCATAGCGAGGAGGTTGTGGCTGACGGCTGCAGGGGGCCAGGCTCTCTGGTGAGGGCGGTGCTCCCACTTGATTCCGACCTGGGAGGAGAGTAGCTTCAGGGCTGTTTTCTCAAATGACCAGCCAGGTCTGCTGGCCCTGAGCACAGTCCTTGAAGGGAGAGAGGTGGGAGCCACTCTGGGTAGCCTCCTGCATCTCAGAAACTTGCCTACTTTGTCATTAGCACTGCTTCATGACAAATGTTTTAGCTAACTCCATTTACAGATACAGGTATTGCAGATTCATAGAGGTTCAGTACTTGCTCAAGCAGCCCAGCCTGGTGGCAGAGGAATCAGGATGGAAACAGGACACTCTGCAAAGTTCATGCTCCTTCTAGCTGCTAAATGCTCACTGACTCTGAGCTGTCAGGAGGGGAAGGAGCAAAGGCACTCACTGGCGCTTGGAAATAGATCATTGGGATTGGTGTTCTGCCTGATGAGGGGCAGGCAAAAATTAATAATAATAATAGTGTCTTCAGAAATCTCTGTCTTCCTTTCTTAAGCTCTGCCTGATGTTTAGATAAAAGGCATTTTCATAATGAGATTTAATTAAATGGTCGCTCTCTACCCGTGGTGCATCTAATGCTCACAAATAAAAGACACCCTCGTTGGTGCATTGTTTCACAATAAACTTAAATCAGCATGCAGATCCAAATGCACGCCTGTCTCTGCAGAAGAAAGTTATTAATCTTCCTCCTCCAAAATCTAATCTTCTTCTCATACGAGATACAAATAATCAAGTACTGGACACACTTACAATAAACACATGTCTGATTTTCCTGATTTGAAACACCTGAAAATGTGCAACAGGGACTGAGTCAACCACTTTACTTTGGAGCAAGCTGGCGGAGAAGAAGCAAAAGTTATTTTCCAACCCCAAAAGTGGATTTATTTTTATGGCTAAGCTTTCCGAATGCCAGATGAACTAGACAAGCGTGTGAAATAATACCAAATCCTATAATAATGTGAATCTGAAATAGCCATTCTTTTTTTCCCTTTTTTTCTTGTTGCTATCTGACAATGGAAACACGCAATTTAAACATCAAAGAGAAAGTCTCTCTTAAGTACTTAGATGGGAAAACTGGTAGTTTAACAGACTACAAGGTAGTTGGACAAAGGTAGGATGTCTGCAGGTGAGCTTATCTGTCATCTTGTATTTCTGCAATTGTAGGTGAAAGCAGGGACACTGAGGGTGATAAAATGAGTTAAATCAGGTTGATGTTTTGGACCCTGTGTCTCTGCCATTGCTGGAACAACATGGGATGCTGCCAGTCATAAAAGAGTTAATGCAATGAGGAGGGATGGATGGAGGTGTCTAGGACCGAGGACTAGATGTCCCACAAAGATGGGACAGACAGTGGGAGAGGAAGGTCAGGCTGGGTTGTTTGATTAAGACCAGCTCTGCTGACTTGGGCAAAGAGAAAATGTGCTGGAAGACCCTATGGATACTAAATATGATGGAGGAATATCTGAAGAACCCGCTTGAGATAGCACAGGAGCTAGGGCATCCTTCAGGCTCTAAGTCACAGGAACAGACAGGCTTGCAGTTCAGGATCTCACAGCGAGAATAAACCAGCTCCAGCTGTTTTCCATTCTAGTGTCATTCGGCCCATGGTCACATTCCCAGGGCTGCTCTGCCTTGCTGGAGCTGGGGTCATGCGCCTCCCTGCTCCGAGCACCTTGACTAGTGATCAGTCGGGATGGTGTTTCCAGATACCCAGCACAGAGGGCGGCTGACTGAGAAGGAGGGATGAACATCCTGTCTGGCAAATGAAGCTTGCTACTGGGAGTATGGGGGCAGGCCACAGGTGCAGTCCCAGCAAACTGAGTTAGGAACAGGATTCCAGCCTGGGGAGGGAGGGGCGCCTCAGAGAGCCGAGACATTAAGGAGCATCCGGGCCAAACGAGCCGTGGGGAGCAAAGGTCACGTTACTATTAAACAGCACTGGCAGACAAGGGACTTGGTCGCACCGCTGTGCAAGAGAAGGAGGTCAGAGAAAGCAACCTAGAAATGACTGAAGGTAACACTCATGGGGAGAAGCTGGAACGCAGAAAGTTCTGAGGATCTTTCTGTTTCTCTAGCGAGTGTGATAATCACAGCTGTGGCCTTCCATCACAAGTAACCAGGAACCAACTCACAGTGACATAGGCCAAAGGGGGGTCCTGCTTACTCGCTTGGGTCACCACACCTAATGGAAAAGTCCATGGGAACGAAGGCCCCCAGCATGATGGAATTCAGGTGCTCAGACCGTATTCCTTCTCCATATCTGGCTCTCCTTTCCCCTGGGTTGTCTCCATGCTCAGCCGTATTTGCACATCTGTAGAGGGAAGAGGGAAGAGGCACCAGCAACATCTGTCCTTGATCCTACCAGAGGAAAGCAACATCTTCCTTCCTAATCGGTAGCCCAGCCCAAGGCCCAGGTTGAGTCATGAGCACAACTCTCTGAACCAAGCAGAAGATTAGCAGGACGGATTGTGCCAGGAGTCCCGATGCCTGAGCCTGCCACGGACCCCAGCACCCAGCTCTGAGGGCCTGCAGGGGCGGCTACCCGAGGAAGTGCAGGAGGCTCGTCCCAGAGGATGGGAAAAATGCTGAGTAATCAGGAACCACGGAGAGCCACTGGCACCAAGGTCAACCTTGTGAACCCCACAGAAAATAGAGCTGCAATGTGTCTCTGCAGCTGCCTGAGACAGGATTCCAGCCTGGGGAGGGAGGGACAATGTGACTCTTAGGTCTGCGTAAGAGTTCTAGCATTTACAAATTGGCCTGGCTAAGTGATGGCTGGACTAATCCCTTTCCCGGCCTTGGAGCAAAGTAAATATGTCCGTGCATGTGCATATGTGTGTATTGCACATATTTCTCTAGCCTCACTCCTCACACATATTCCTTCCTGCTGGCAGCCACAGCGGCCCACACGTGACCCTTTCTCAGCCTGGCACTGGCTGGACCCTCCCGTTTTCCCTCCTCCCTTCCCCTCCAGCCCTTCCCTCCCTTCCCGCCCCTCAACCCCGCCAGCCCACCTTTCCCTCCTTTCCCTTTCTTCCCCTCCTCTCCCTTTCTTCCCCTCCTCTCCTGGAGTAAAGCCGGGATAACATCTCAGCTATTGTCATGGGAGCTCTTTGGGAAAAAGAGGCTCATTAATTATTTGCAGCCTTTGATCCTGCACACTGAGAAGTGCTGTCCCTGGGGGCCTGTGTGTGCAGCGGAGGAATGGGGCTGCAGAGAGGGGCCAGGGAGGGAAACAGTTTTCTAATCTAATTGTCTATGCTGAGTTACCCAGTCTTCTCAGATAGATGCAACGGCCTTGCACATCGTGGTGTTACTGCTGTTGTAGTAATGATTCTTCAGGGAGCAGGCATTGGAAGAAGAAACTTATCTCAAAGAGAACTCTTCCTTCTTCTCCTCCTCCTCCTCCACAAAACAGGAGTCAGGCATCTCCTAATAACATTTTAGTATCTCTAATATCTCTTTCTTCTTCTTCCTTCTGTTGACTGCTGATGTGATACCTCTGCTCTTGTCTTCTTAGTTTAAAAGAATTTAAACAAGAGACACACAGCAAAAGAAGTGCAGCGTAGAGTAATTTATTGCAACAGAAAAAGAATAGATTGAAAGTTAGGTGCAGAATCGCCAGTGCACTCTGAGAGAGAGGATTCGGGGTGGGCTGATCGCAAGAATGAGACAGCGAAGACCCACACCAGGGAGGCTCCCTTCTGGGAGTCTTCCATGATTATTCGTAAGGAGGTGGGAAGAGGCGTTACTAGGAAGCTGTTCCGGGTGGTCTTTCGGGTGCACCTGTGCAGTAGCTGCACATGCTCATTCATGTGTCACGTGTCTCTTTAGCATCTAAAATCTCCACCCAGGGCTGTGTTTTTCACAATTATGATGAGCAAAGAGTCAGTTTAAGGACAGGTAAAATTAAAATGTGCGTGTTCTCTGAAGGGGAAAGTCTCCACTGAAGACAGCTTCGCTTGAATGAGCTCAGTTACCGTGCAAATCCTGAGACTGACTGTGTTGGCTGTGCGGTCACCACAGTTGCTGCTGCGTCCCGAGAACATGGTCACTTCTTTGACTACCCATCCAGCCTCACTCCTCCTCCTTCCTCTGTCTCTCTGCCTGACTGTCTCTCTGTCTCTGTCTCCCCACCCCACCATCTCTGTCTTTTCTGACATTCCCTGTGATTCAGCTCCAACAACCCCATCTCATCTCACCTTATTTATCAGGCCCTCAAAACTAAAAGCCCCCATGACAGACCGGGATCCTGAGATCCTGAGATCCTGCGGCGGGGCCTGCCCATCCTAATGGCCACTGTCACCTCCTCCCTGAGGGGGCTCCTTCCGTGGTCAAAATGGGAAGCCGCCTCCCCAACCCCAACCCCACCAAAACTTAGGAACACACTTCCAGCTAAGTCCAGCTCCTGGGCCACGTCCTGCCTCGCATGAGGAAATGCACGCCTCAGGCACCACCGCTCCTCTGCTGACGGAGGCCAGACACCCTCTCATGTCCCCAGGGAATGCTCAAGTCAGCAAAAGGTGCCTTGATCTCCAAGGAAGCTGTGACTCCAAAGACAAGGGGTGTCCAAACATCAGAGGGAATCTTCTCACTGAAAAGCCTGGGTTATTAAGACTCGCTAAAAAGCCCTTCACATTGTGTTATTAGCCAAACTAAAATGAACAGCAGTGGTCTAGTGACAGATGAAATTCTTCTTTTTAATGACACTATCTTCTTATCCTTATTATAAAGTTAAGACATTTTCTGGAAGAAACTTTTGAAAAGACAGGCAAGAATCAGGAAGATAATAAAGTATCTGTCATCATCTCAGACAAGG